TACATATATATTATTCATACCTTCGGTGTTTAGGACGCAAGCAGATTTTGGCATCACATTTTGGGGTAAAAAAGTGCGTCTTGTACACCGACAAATACGGTATATCATCAGTTTTATGAACATCAAGAACTGTTACGGTGTGAACTATGTTAACTAAGTAAATTGTAATTATGAACATTTTTATCAAAGTCTTTGCAAATCGGAATTAAGGTAAAGATTGATAAGGCATACTTTAACAAAGAACTGGCAAACCAGCAAGTTAGTCTTATCGCTGAAAATGGTCAAACAACTTCAGCGTCAACGGGAGAAAATTACATTAGTGATTCCGAAAAGCTGTGAATGAGGGCAAAGAAAATATATATAATAATATGTCAGTCACATGAAACTGTGGTAGCCAATGCCGACAAAGGCTTCTGCCCAATACCTGATAAGTTTGAATATGCCCCACAGTGGCACAGCGGTATGCCTGCGGACTTAGATCGCTGGAAACCGGGTTTCGATACTCGTGGTGGGCAGAGCACAGATAGCCCGTGTGTAGCTTTGTGCATAATTAAAAACAAAAAAAAAATGTTTGAATATTCTTTAAGTAATAGAATTCTCTAATAAGCGATAAATTTGATGAATATAGAGCTCAGTATTTTATATTAAAGCAGTTTTGAATATTCCCGTCACTTGACAACTACAGCTAATGTAACATTATGGTGGTACGGCGTGTATCAGAACTACATTTTGACAATGGCGTTATGTAGATAATGTGATGCCGTCGAGAATTAGTCGCTTTAAGGAAGGGTATGTAACAATCCTTTCCGACGCGAAATATTCATACATCAGCTCAGTTGTGAGATCTGGAATTTCCAAGACAGGAATATCCCTTACACTTGATAGCATTGGACAACAAAGGAATATGGATAAACTTGGGGCACTAGAACCATTCAAGAAAAAGTCCTGCAACAAATTGTATCCTAGCGGTAGTAAGCAACGTGCGGCGTCTTTAAACAGGTGAAAATTCACGAACACAAAAGTCAGTGGAAAAATCCGTTCACGTGCCTTAGGCAACATAACAAAGAAGGTTTCCGTCTGGAAAAGAGACACTAGTCACGTGTACACAAGCTGCTTCCACAACATATCTGTTTAACTTTCCCGTATCTAAAGCAGCTGAAGAATAAAGCGGGTGATCTTAATATTCCAAATGAAGAAATGCCCGTGAAGTCGCCGGAAATCACCTGTGAATTTTCATGACGATCACACTGTTCAAACGGGCACAAAGACGTACGTCCTCGTACATGAGATGGCTTATGGAAAGTCAGCCAGGAGGAATGTTGTGTTCTGAACATGATATCCTTACGACGGAGCCTTTTGCAATGGAAACTATGCTTCAGTGCTACTTTCAAGATGCATGGTGATCAAACAGAGCGTGACCGGACATGGACTATAATCGTTTGGTGAGGCTTCAAATCGTTTTAATATAACGTGCTTAACCCCAGTATTAAATGTTTTAAAGCTGTGTGAGTAATAACAAAATCCGAGTTTAGTGTTCATATTTGGTAAAAAAGATTTACTTCAAAAGTATACTTATACACTTCTGTCATAGTTCCCTTCCAAATTAGGTAATTTGTGATAAAACTGTATGCTGTATTTATGAACTATTACCGGGGATTATAACAAGTTTACTAAGAGTAAACAGTTTTTCATTAGAATGAATGTAAAATCCAGATGCGACAGAAAAGTGTACGATTAATTTATTATATAGTTTCGAAAGAAGAATAGAATTTAAGTAATCTTACAGTTTTAGCAGCAAATTAATTCTACTATGTTATCGTTTAAAACAAGTATTAAACCGCATTAGGACTAAGAATGAAAAATCATTCAAACCTGTTTTATTCTCCGCTGAGCTTTGCGGATTCAGTAGTAAAGAAAAATATGTAGATATTTCTCTAAAAAAGTAGTTTGTTTTTCTAAAAAGTTTAAAATTTGTTTTATTTATTATAAACTAATGATTAAACAACTTAAGAATGGTTTTGCTTTTCCCTAAACTTTTATTACGTATGCTCTCGGAACTTTTTAAGTTTATGCGATTCAGTTATAGACTTGATGAAACGAATTTGAATGGACGTCAACCGTCTATTGTAGAAACACGAGTGTAGAGGACGACATTTCAAATGCGGAAGACTTGTGTTTTTACAACAGACGGATGCTGTCCATTCAAATTAGTTTCATCATAAATACTCTACCTAAACAATCTATCAAAGTTCTAGGCTTCTTTATTTATTAAAGTGCAGCTTCCTTTAATAATGTAATTTTTCAATTCATGAAACTTACGACTGCACTCATTTTTATCTGAAAAGATTTCGCTTTGCAGTAACGTGATTTTGGATGTGGTTCGCATGACTACGTCAGTGTTTAATTTTATTTGTTGACTCACTCATAATCAAATATCTTATCGTCCAGATCCGTCCTAAGTCTGGAGAGAAAAAGCGTGTATTGCTGTTGCAAAGCAAAATTTTTATACTGTACCTTACAAATGAAATAGAATAAGTGGTTTAAGTTCCTGTCAGCACAATTAATTCTAGCACTTTTAGTACACCACCTGAATTCCTGTTTTTTGTTATTAAATTCTTAGTGAATAAACTGCTAAAAAGTTAACGACTCGTGCATTAGTTTTGTAGCAATCAAATTTATACTAACTTGTACCACGTTGCAAATTATGAAATACAGCTATTGTGTTATGTCGTTGGACGGTTGTTTGAGATGTAGGTCAGATTCAGCTTATTGTGTCTGCAGCAACAAGTTAAAAAAAACAACTGAATAGTTCATAGCGGTTGCTGAAAACTCGAGTTCATTATAAAGAAAAAAACAGACTTTACTGTAGAAATGCCGTTTACACTATTGCAACACAGCATCATTGTTATAGAAAAGGTAATTGGAAAAGTTTGTTCTGCCTGAAGTTGTTTTGTCATTCTTTGTTGCATAATAAACATTATTTTATGAAATAAAACGTGGCTATTTTGTTAAGAATATCAGAGACAACTTGAGTTTATATAAGCACGCATTTTTTCAAAGGAACGTACTCATAGTGCGTTTTAGATACTTTATTATACATAAATTAAAAAACACCATTAGTACTAAACAGAACATACAAACTTCTGAATATTTTATTATATTTAATTGTTAACGTAGAAAAATGTTTTCTTTTGTATTTTGCGTAACAGACTGGATAGAAGAAGGTTATAGAAATGATCGGTGCTGTGAAAAACGTTTGTATTTTCAACTGTTGATACATTATTGGGACAAAGCGCTTGTGACGGCGGGTGCTGTTGATTGGCAGCCTTCTCTCGACCCAAGAGTTCAAAATTAGGAACAGTCATAACTGAACCCTAGGCCAAGCGTAGGCTATTTTACATGTTCGTTTAAGCAATGTATCTTATAAGCTGCCTTTTAATTAAAAATGTCATTGAATACAAAAAAAAAGCAATGATATTCAAAATCGCCATTGTAAGTTTATTAATTGTGGGAATGAAACTGTACACACATTAATTTTGTAACTAAAATTATATTTTCAAACTGTAACCACGTTTGTTAAATTAATTTCGACTGAAGTTTTATTATTCTTTAAAACAATCAGTTCAAATGCTGTGTCAAATATTAATAGTTTCGTTTTGAGTTTGCTTACTCAAGTTACTGATTAAGTACATTTTATTACAATTTACAGCTTTTACAATAAGATTTGTTTTTACTTGAGAATGATCGCACCAGTGATCGAAAAGTCGTACCTGTTCTAAAAACAAATCTTACTCACTGTAGAAGCTGTAAGTTGTAATACAATATGACAAGTATTGTCAGCATTTTTTTGTAATGACGTCAGAGGGTAGGGCTAGTCGTAAGTGAAAGGAAGTAGCCCAGTGGTAGTTGAATAGACACTTAGGAGGGCGTGTGAAGCTGAATCGTGAACGATTTTAGCTGTTTGCTAGGCACGTGTTTAATATTTCAGTGATTCTGTGGGTATGTACGCGCCAGTTACTTGCAGTACTACAAGTTTTTGCACCACGTCTTGTTGTTAGCCTTGACATAGGGGGAGTTTTAGAATAAATAATTTTTTTGTGTTTACACTTGTTTAAAAGTTCCTGATGTGTGATTATAATCACATTTTATCTATATTGCATAATTCTGTTAATATTTTCTCACTCTATCCAAATGATAAATAAATGGCTAGTTTTAGCTGTTAATTTTATAAATCATTAATATAATATTGCTCTCGGAACCTTGTACTTTGAGATCAGTTAATATTTTATTTTAGAAATTTTGACCTGACTAGGTGGTGAAAATATATGACCGAAGAAGTCACGTGTTAAAATTATAACATTATAGAAAGATAATTCTTATACAAGAAAAAGTCGCACCTCTCCCCACCAAGGAAAAAATAATCCCCCAATACACAAATCTGTTTTTCAGACACATTTATCATTTCAGATTCAGTCGATTGGCGATGTTGTTTTCTTACTGCAAAGCTATACACTGAGCATGTAAACTTTGTTCACCGAATTCTAGTGTTGTAAGTCTATAAACATACTGTTGACTGGTGAGCTAATCCGTTGTTAAATTACCGGTATCTTTATCAGTAGTTAATGTGGATACCGTTAGCAGAAATAACCTGGGAACGTAATGGTACTAGTTACATGTGCGATTTGAACTCTCTACTTAATGGTTTCTTTTTTTATTTATTTTATTTTATGGATTCCAAAAGTGATCAGGGTATAACTGTTACTGTGTTAGAAACTTGTGTACAGTTTGGACTAATTAGTAAGCGAAAGTTACGTACTGAACTTTGGATATTATATAAATATTGCACATGCAACAAGAAATATTTAATCTGTATAAAACTTAATACTTCAGCGCTCCACCCCAAGAAGTAACAAAAATATAAAACTAATATAAAAAGCTTCCCTTTGTAAGTCTTATTTTTAAGCCCATTGGTGGCTCAGCTAGCTGTAAGCATGAGAGCTTATAACGTTAAAATTAAGAATTAGAGACCCGCGATGTGCATAGCACCTCATAGTGTCCATTGTGTAGCTATGTGCTTAAAAAACAAGAAATTTGTTTGAACTTGTATACATTAATATTAGTTATTTATTAAACCCTTACTCTAATTATTGCACATCTCGTCACAGGCGTTTTTTTTTATATAACATATTCTTGAAAGAAGACACTAAGCTTGTTTCAGTTGAAAATAACTCGCAAATGATAGTATTTTTTATTGTATGGGACTTTCCATTAACTCGTAAACTCAATTATTAAATTAAGCTGAAAATTATTTTGTGATTCAAGTTTCGTACCGGGTTGCATCATACCGAGACGTTATTAATGAAAGGCTGATAGTGACTAACTCGTAAGTTATTATACTATTTCTAGTATACTGTCGTGTTTATTTGTATTACTATTAGCTTTTCTGACAGATTTAACATAATCGGAGTTAATTTATATAGTTTTTAAATTGTTTTTTAAGATAAACCGGGGGGGACACGGACCTAAAACTGAGCATACATGCACATGATAGTATCAAATTTTGACTTTAGGCTTAAGAAAGTTCAGGAACAACAATCAAAATAAGCGTTTATTCCTACCACTCTAGCTGTAAACTTGATTGTGGCTGTAAAATTAAAGAACAACAGGTAGTTCCTATATATGTGTATGTGTGCGTATATATAAGTATATATGGATGTATGTATATTAATTATGATCATTTGCTGTTATTGTTATTATTGTTTTTTTATCTTAAAGCCAAAATAATTTCAACTAAGCCCTATTATTATTAAAACTAGGTTCTGTTGTTTAGAAAGTAAAATGGAATCTTGTTTATAAAGTTATAAGAATTTATTGAATGGTGTTTTGGTTCCTTAATATTAATAAAAGTTTTACATGTTACATTATAATATTATATCTAAGTTTATCATTTAAATATATTTTCCCAAAAAGGTCAACAACATTGTAAGTAATGTTGTAGTTTATTTAGTCGGTATTTGTGTAAAATTAAGTAGTAGAAATTTTTTAAACATTTTTATTCAGCTTAAGAATTTTTTCTTCACTGCATATGTATAGGACAGTACAACTAAAACTAAAAAATGTCGAATTACACGAATGGAGACACAACAGGTGTGGAAGGGAAAGCACCTTTGATTAAAAGAAATTTGCAGGTAAGTATTGTTCTAATAAACAGTTACTGAACTGTTTTTATTTAGCTTTATGTTTCTTAAGAAATGAATGCTTACTTTGTTGAAGATTTCCATTTTCCTACAGTCTTGTTAGGCTTTCCAAAAGATTTTATTTTATAAAACTGTAAATTTAGCTTTTTTCTTTTATACTGTTAACTAAAATATACGTAATGAATTTTAAATGCAATTTTTATTTCAAGCAGTTACTTAAGTCGACATGACCTAATGGAAACACAACCTAACAAATACTGGCATTGTGGGCAAAATGAAAATTGATATGGTCAATTGTAAAATGATCTAATTACGTCTAATAATCCTCAGAAAGCAAAGACCCAAGCACTGTCTCCTTAAGCACTATGATAGTAAAAAGATTTGTTTGATTGAACTCCATTAATGACAACCTTTTGCTTTCTCCCACTCAACCAACAATTAACAAGTCTTTTACATAATACGTACAAATGTGATTTTCTTAGCTAATCATTAATCACCTAAGTTGCAACTTATCAAAAGGCTGATTTTAATGAAACAAAACAGGAAAACTGCAATATTAAGAACACATTATTATTATTTGGGTGAGTCTTGAAACTAATTAAAGCTATCTGAAACAGTAATGCTTTGTTTAGGTTCTTCAGGAGAGTATTTTTTTCAATAACAAAACTTAACACTAGCAGCTATACAGACACAAAAGGAACTCTGTGTGTATTCATATAAAAACACAATTATTTGCTTTTAAGTACTGTCTTTATAAAATTGTATGCTGAATTTTCCAGTTATCTATTACGGACTAAGATATTTGGAAGATTTAGTTTAAACCTTACAGTATAAAATTGCAATATACTGAGAACTAGAGCATGAATGTAATACTGCCTGATTGCTCTTTTTGTGGTGTGAAATATTGATTCTCTGTAAATGTAAGAAAAGGTATTTTGTAGACATAAATTAGTGATGAACAATTTGGATGCATTAGTCCAGCAATGCCCTATGGGCTCATGTTGCTGAAAAGGTGATGACCAATGTCGTCAGACTGAAAACAGGCTGATGTTTATTTCATAACTTGTTCTGTTGTTGCATGGCTTATTCTTATCGGTCACTTTGTTGTATTCCAGGAAATAATTGGTGAAGATCGAATGAATGAAATCTTAAAAGATCGAGATCTGAAAATTTATTGGGGAACAGCCACTACAGGAAAACCTCATGTTGCATACTTTGTTCCAATGACAAAAATAGCAGATTTTCTAAAGGCTGGATGTGAGGTGTGTGTTAAAATTATACCTATATTTTGTTGGTATTTGGTTAATTTACTCCTAGAATTTGAATTTAAATTGTGATGCTTTTTATTTTTAAAACAATCAAAATTTGGAATATAGAAAAACTTTCCCTTACATGAAGAAATAAGCCAAAGCTATTTAAATTAGGTAGGAAATTGTGTTTTAGGGGGTAAAAAGTTTAAGATCATAAACTTTGATTGTCATAATTTGTAACAAGCTCAAAAGTAACATTATCAATGTACTGATAGACATACAAGATTTTAAAATGAGAAATATAGAAATTTCTTATGTCACACAACTAATAAAAATTTTGTATTTGTCATATCAAGCATTTTGATGTGCTAAGTGTAGATGAATATGTACATTTACTTTTATTTTTGCTTCTTGTTGGACATTTTGGATGCTTAATGAATTGTTATTTACATCATTAACTGAAGGTAAACAAAGCACATATTTTAAAGTGGTTTGATCTAAAATGAAAAAAATTATTTTTTGCATACATCTCCACTGGTATTACATTTACCAGTTTATATCTATTAAAGACAACAAGAAGAAAAATAATCTTGCTCAAAACTGGTATAAAATTTGTATTGTTTTTTTTTACTACTTTTTATAGTTTTAATTCCATAAAATATTTCTGACAGAGAGTGGTATTGTTCTGGTTAGAATGTCTCGAGGTGCAGTCAGTAGGTGTATATGAATAAGAGGGTTTTTCTGGGGTACTCTGTATTGTTAAGAACAGTTTGTGCTTATTTCAAAAATATATTTCATGTCATTTCTTAGTATATTTTAAATCTATCACTATTGACTATCAGTCGTAAATGTTTTACATTGAATGTACATATACGGTATTGATATTGCTTTCCTTTTCCACTGATATTGGGCATTTAGTTTTAGGTTTCAAAGATGTGGTGTTTCTGAATTGAAAAGATTCTAATAATATTCATAGCTGACCACTGAAGAGAAAGACTGTATAAGCTTCTTTTATACACTTTATTACAACCATTTTCAATTTATCACATTGCTTTGCTTCTTCTTCTTCTTCTTCTACATTTATATATTATTATTATTATTATAGTGTAAACTTTTCTCTTATTTGGACCACAGCAACTGAATAGGCCATGAAGACTAATAATTTTAACGAAATGAAAGTTTGAAATCGGTATGGCAACCATATTTAAATTCAAGTGTATTTTTTTAACAGGTAAATTTAGCTAGAGCAAACAGTTTTAATGGTATCTATTTGTATGGTGTATTCAGGTAACAATATTATTTGCTGACCTGCATGCTTACCTGGATAACATGAAAGCACCCTGGGAACTTCTTGAACTACGAACCCAATATTATGAGCAGGCAATAAAGGCAATGCTTCAGTCTATTGGAGTACCTCTAGAGAAACTGAAGTTTGTAAAGGGGTCAGACTATCAGTTCACAAAGTAAGAATGTAATTTGAACTAATTTATGTAATAACTTACAATTTAATAGTTATTTGATCTTTTTCCCATTTTAATTCACAAAGTGATTGTTTCAACTTACACTTTATACTGTAAGTACTGTTCTTCTTATAGATAACTGATTTTATTCAAAATATATGAAATATATAAACTACATAGTATCAACACTTTAGACAAAAGCACAGTTTTAAAAGAAAATGTGTATCAGTTGTTGTTGTTTTCTGAACAAAGCAACGCAATGAGCTATTTGTGCTGTGGCCACCATGGGTATCAAAACCCAATTTTTAACATTATAAATAGAATAGTAAGTGTTCTTCCATTTAAAAGCTGATTGATAAGAGTCAAATTGGTAGCCAGCGAGTTAAAACTTTTTGTAATTTCACCCCATGTTATAGACAGATTAGTTAATTACAATTTATACAACTGGAAAATAAATTATTTTCTAGTTGATTTTAATTGCAAGCAGTATACAGTACATGTGGTTACATAAGGCAGCCAAGTATAAATTATTTATACTACAACTGTGAAAAAATATGAGCATAAATTAGGCAAATCATCAAATACACTAAAACTTTAGAACGACGTAATTCTGGAGTTCTGTGGTAAGTACATGTTTCTTCTTTGGACTCGAGAATAAAAGTTTATATTCTTTGTTTAACATCGAACAAAATCTTCAACTAATAAAATACCACAGAGACAGACCTGTAACCCGATGTCTCATCCTGGCTAATTGCTAGCTGAAATCTAAATAATATTTTTATCCTCAAGAGCTTAACTATAATTAGATTTTACTTTTAAGCTGTTACCTTTTCCAAAAACAAAATTGACCATGTGGTGAAGTTACTGTAAAAGTATGGTAATTGAGGAAATATCTCATCACTAATGACAATAATAAGAGCTTGATTTGGTTTAGTCTCCAAGTAACAAATTTATCAGATGGTGTTATTCTGTTTAATCCTATCAACACGGGTCAAAGGCCATGTCATCATGTTTGTTGACTCACATTCAAAATTTTCTTGAACTACTATTTTATGAATCTATGTCAATAAGTTTGGTAT